TCTAGACCAAAACATGGAGAGTTCTGCTGTGTTCGTGAGATTGCCTAAATAGCAGCCAGGGTGGCGGTGAGTTCCTTTTTTCTGCACTAGTTTTCACCCTCAGGAGTCTCTCAGTTCTCCAAATCATTTGTTCATGCTTAGTTGAAAAGGGTTCTGTTGCTTATGGGAGTGGGATAGTAGGCTGCTACTTTTCCTGGACCCCTTAGCATCTTGCAGTGGAACCAGAGTAGCACTGATGTAGCAACATCCTCTGCAGCTGCAGAGGGGACAGAGTTTGCTCAGTTACATACTTCTTATGGCCATTGTGAACATATTCATGTGGCATGTTTCACACCTGCCTAAGTTTTGATTCAAGGCATAAAACAAACAAACAAAAAAATTCAAATTAAAGGTGATAAAATTTAAACGATGTAAAAGCTTAACTAATTTCAATAGTGGAAGTAATTTCTTTAATTTCTGTTTCATGATTGCTTACATCTTTCATAAACAGTTTTCATCAATAAGATCTTGGGAGCAAATTACTGAATTTGAGAGACCTTCTCAGAACTGCGTATGATGGTCGGAAATGAAGTGCTGAGTGGCAGAGACTGGCAGTGTAAGAAATTGATTTCTAGGTGCTGGGAGAGCATTTTATTTTTCCATTCCCTTCATTAGTTTTATTAGGTGAGATTATAGTCACGCTTCAAGTGACTTGTAAGGGAAAGCAGAAGGGTATGCCATTTCGCCCCCCCCCCCCCCCTTGTGTATATTAACAGTGAACGGGAATACTGACTATTACCTATGTATTTTTAATGTATGTATAAATTTCAGATAAACTTGGGGCCTCAATAAGTGATTAAATTATTTTATATCATAAGAAAAAAATCTTGAGAGCTGAGCATCAGGATTGGAAGCAATGTTAGACACTGATTGCCTCTTTTTATTAAGGCGTATTCAACTTTAATGTCTAATGAACACTTGGGAGAAAGGATGCGTTTATCAAAGAATCAGCATACCCATTTAAGTTGAAATCTTGAAATAAATATCTATAAAAGTCTTCAGGAATTCTCAAGTGAAATAAGAAGAGAATAGGCATTATATATCAAATCTTTCTAAACAAGCAATGTAATTATTTCTGAAGTCCTTTGAAATGAGAGCCAGCTAGGCAAATCAAACACAATCTCAAAGCAGTCAACAGTTTCACTTCTTTATTTTCCTTCGTGTATAAAGTATATCATGGCAACAAAATGGATCAGCCTAGATAAAATACTCTCACAAAAATTTTCAATGTTCTGTGATGAGCCTTATCTTATTCCAGCTCTGTCCCATTGTATGATGTTCTGCACAAACCTCTTCTGTCTTAGAAGGTGACAAAACAAAAGTTTTGTGATAGCAGCCACAGAAACCTATGACATCACCTGCTATTTCAGTTTGAATCCAGTTGAAGAAAGCACTGACCTCTACATTCGTATTTGGTATCACACACGGAACAGCAGCTGTGAACTGCAGGGAATGTCCTGCTGGGATGGTGGGGCTATAGCCTGGATTCTGCAAGGGGGGAGGTACAGCTTGGCTAAGAGATTGCTTTCTGTAGGAACAACAAAATAGAGAACTTGTAACTGGTGTATGAGTTACAGAAGGTGAGCCAACAAAACTTAAATATGTGAGACAATTCTAATAGCTACATCTTTTCATGCTTTGTAACTACTGTGGGCAAGCCACAAAGGGTCCTTTTGTTCCTCTGTTCCTGCAACATCCAAACTCGAGCTTCCTGCATGCTTCCTTGTCATTGTTCCCAATTTCATTTATTTTCTGTACCCTATGCCTCGGCCTCTGCGTGTGCCCCATGGTTGCTTCCCTGTTAGTGTTTTTATTCTCCTGTATATGAAGGAAGTCAGTCAGGATATCATCTATGGGCTGAGGCTGCTGTACTTGCTACAAGGCTGGGGACCACATTTGTGTCATCTATACTCTTTATCATTTTTACTCAAAGCTACCAGGCATTGTCTGTTAGCGTCTGAGTATACAACAAGATTTGTAATTGGTCAGACAACAGATTTCTGATGTTAATTCCTTACAAACTCACCATCAAGTTGAGGATAAAGCCCATTTCTCACGCCCAGTGGTAGGTTAAAGATTATTATATTAAAGGTTTGGTATAAGATCACCTTTCAACTTCAAAAACAGTTAAGCTTCAGAACATAAGCAAGTTACATGTTTATAAGAACCGGTTCA